CAATGCATGCATGGCCTAACCAAATTTTAACTACACAATGAAGTATAATGTGATGACGAAGATAACAATATCTTGTCATTAGGCTATGCCATGCTGCCTTACTTCCTGGTCGGCTTGTTGTTGCTGTTTGTTTCTTTGTTTTGAGAAGAAAATAATTTTGTAGAAATCCTGAAGACTTCCGCTATACTGTGCTTCAGCTGTAGCTGCTTGTCACATGCCATTCATGGGAGCATGACACATATTGGAAGAAAGCATCCTGACTCAGTATGAAACTTGTTCAATGTCAGGAACACAAGAATAGGAAGGAATAGTACATCTGCACTACACTGGTGGAAGTTACACATGTAAGTGGCTTCCGTTTATTTAAAAATAATAATAATAATCTTAACAGATTTTTCCTGGTTGTATATATATAGAAGACTGGCCATCCCGGTTCAAAGCTGGGTTTTTATGGGGGCTCAGTATTCTCAGAGTCCAGGCAAGGCCCCACCATGGTATAAAATGATATCTGGTAGGAAGTAGGCACTTTTCATGGAACAGTAACAATTCAGGCCACCTTAATTCACAAAGAGGAATACAAAGAGTACAGACCCAGACAGTTTTAAGGACTAACCACTCCCTGCTCTCCTGTATGCTTCCTACTTTTGTATTGTAGGCTTTGCATGTTGATTTATTCTCTGTCTACTAGACAATCCTCTGTGCAGTCTCCAAACCAACACATACAGGAAGTAAGTCTGTCCAGCAGCAGGCTCACTTATTCATGGAAAATTCTTTGGGGGCAGAATCCTTTTTTTTTTTTTTTTTTTTTTTTTTGTGGGAATTTTCTTCTCAGATGACTCTTGGCTGTGTCAAGTCAACAATGGCTAGCCAGGACAATGGACTAAATGAGTTTGTATCAACTTTACATAAAGAATTTTAACAATCAAATCTAAAATTTTTTTTGACCTGGAAATTTATTTTTTTTAATTTGAAACAAGCTTGTTTTACATGTCAATTTCAGTTCCCTCACCCTCCCCTCCTTCCCTGTACCTCCCAACCCCCATGCCATTCCCTTTCTGCTCCCCAGGGAGGGTGAGGCTTCCATGGGAAGTCTTCAAAGTCTGTTATATTATTTGGGGCAAGGATTAGGCCCTCCCCCATGTGTCTAGGCTGAGAGACTATACCTCTATGTGGAAGAGGCTCCCAAAGTTCACTCATATGATAGGGATAAACACTGATCCACTACCAGAGGCCCCATAGACTGCCCAGTCCTCCTAACTAACACCCACACAGAGGGAGTCTGGGTCAGTCTAGCTGGTTTCCCAGCTATCAGACTGGGAGCCATGAGCTCCCCCTTGTTCAGGTCAACTGTTTCTGTGGGTTTCTCCAGACTGGTCTTGACCCCTTTGCTCATCACTCCTCCCTCTCTGCAACTGGATCCTAGGAGTTCAGCTCAGTGTTTAGTTGTGGCTCTTTTTCTGCTTCCATCAGCTACTGGTTGAAGGCTCTAAGGATGAGGTAGTCATCAATCTCATTATAGAGGAAGGGCATTTAAGGTAGCCACTATTGCTTAGTTAGTTGTTGAGGTCATCCTTGTAGGTCTCTGGACATTTCCCTAGTGCCAGATTTCTCTTTAAACCTATCATGGCTCCCTCTATTGTGGTATTTCTTTTCTTGCTCTCCTCTATTCTTCCCCTGACTCAATCTTCCTGCTCCCTCGTGTCCTCCTCGCCCCTCCTTTTTCTCCTAACTCCCTCTCCCCTTCGGCCATGTTCCCAATTTTCTCAGATCTTGTCCCTTTCCCCGTCTCTTAGGGTCCTCCTTGTTTCCTAGCTTTTCTGGAGGTGTGGATTGTAGGCTGGTAGTCCTATGTTTTGTCTAAAATCCATATACGAATGAGTACATACCGTGTTTGTCTTTTTGTGACTGGGTTATCTCACTCAGGATGGTTTCTTAGTTCCATCTGTTTGCCTGAAAATTTCAAGATTTCATTGTTTTTTTTCTGCTGAAAAGTTCTCCATTGTGAAAATGTACCACATTTTCTTTATCCATTCTTCAGTTGAGGGATAATTAGGTTGCTTCCAGGTTTTGGCTATTACAAATAACACTGCTATGACTTGAGTTAAGTATTCCACAGTCCAGTGAGTATTCCATGGGTTCTCAGAGAATGACAAGATTCAGCTTTCTTAAACTGGAAACAATGCAAATATAAGACTCATTTCCCTGATGGCTAAGGACATTGAGCACTTTCTTAAGTGTCTTTCAGCCATTTTAGATTCTTCTACTCAGAATTCTCTATTTAGTTCTGTACCCCACTTTTTTAATCGGATTATTTGGTGTTTTGGTTACTAGCTTCTCAAGTTCCTTGTATATTTTGGAAATCAGCCTTATGTCAGATATGGGGTTGGTAAGGATTTTTTCCCATCCTGTGGGCTGCTATTTTATCTTGTTGACTGTGTCCTTTGCCTTACAGAAGCTTCTCAGTTTCAGATCTCAGTGTCTGTGCTATTGAACACACCACTTTAAAAGAAAAATTTACTTACATTACAGTTGCAGAGATTTCCAGTCATGATTAGTTGACTTCCTCCCCTCAATGGCTCTGAACATATTATAAGGCAAGATGTCATAGAGGAGCATTTGGGGGAGAAAGCTGCTCCCGTTGTGACAGATGAGAGACAAAGAGTGTGAGAGGAAAATACTAAGTTCCCACTGTGACACAGGATCTCATACCTGCCCCACCTTTAAGTTTGCATCATCTCCCACTAGTGTCACAGTGCGAACAACCTTTGAGGGACAGCCTAGATCTAAACTACCCTGGTATCTTTTCTCAAACAGAAAGGAAAGATGGTTATTAAGAGAGGATGAGGGGAAGGGTTCAGGGATACAGGTTAAATTGCTTCTAGATCACCAAGTGGGCTGAAGACACCATAGTCATGTGGAGACTAATCTGGAAATAATCTCTGATACATTATCCTTGTAGTGAAGTAGGTTTGTGGGTCTTTGGCTTTTTTTTTATCCTTGTAGTGAAGTAGGTTTGTGGGTCTTTGGCTTTTTTTTTATCCTTGTAGTGAAGTAGGTTTGTGGGTCTTTGGCTTTTTTTTATCCTTGTAGTGAAGTAGGTTTGTGGGTCTTTGGCTTTTTTTTTTTTTTTTTTTTTTTTTTTTGTATCTTGTATCTGTTATGTGCTTGAGAAATGGTCCAAGTATGTATTGCTTTAAGAAAGAAACAAAATAGAAGGGTAGATGGGAAGCCAATGTAGAAGAAGAAGAGATAGCCATCCTTCCCTGACTCTGGTCACAAAAGCAAAAGGAAGCAGGCAAAGACACCAATGACTAATGGTCTTGGGCCCTTGGCTTCTCCACAGACCTCAGCATTGAGGCAAAGTAAAGCAGGGTCCTGGTCCTTTGTTCAGACGAGAAAGGCTGTCCTTGTGCGACCCTTGGCAAGTGACAGGTCCCTCCTTCCCTCTTACTGTTTCTGTGTCTCTGAGCACTTCCTTCAGTCTTTGGAACAGAGCACGAGACTGCAATTAGAGCTAATGGCAATGATCAGTGTTCAACTAAAGGTGTCTCCAAATGCCAGGGAAGATGCAATTGGGAATCAAGCTGTGACAAGCACAAACCAATTACTCCATGGCAGGGATCTGTGGGACCCTGAAGCCACCTGACCCAACCGAGGAGCAGTCCCTCGACTGTAAGCACCATTTATGATGCCTTGTATGAGTGGGGAATTAAGAACCTTGGAGAAATGGCTTACACCTGATTAGGATGCAGTTTTTTTTTTTTTTTTTTAACATAGCTTCCAGCTACCTTCCACTGAACAGAGACTACAGACAATGAGATCCTGAGGAAATCTGGAGGTGAGAAATGAGCATTGTGTGAAGCAAATGAGGACCTACCTGCCTAGACACCATTCTCTTTTGTCCCAGGACCAGAGAGGCTCCTACGTAAAACTTGAATAAAGCTTAAGGAACAGTTAACAGAGAAGGGAGGAAAAAAAACTTTTCTGTCCAAAATGGTAGGATGGGCATTGTATATTAAGTATAGAGTCCAGGGCATGCTAAATTTGGAATTGCAGAATAACTCATAGCCAAACTTCCCATGGTCAAGGTAGAAGACTAAATGCAGAACAGAGATGAGAGTGATAGACTGTTACTTTTCCCTGTCTGCAGTAGATACAGTAGATACCGTTTGCTGTTCTCACACTCAGTCTGAATCCCAAGTATCATACTTAAAACACAAGGGCTTTATTTCCAATGAGCAGCTATAGATTGGGGTGGGGCGCCCCTTCCTCCATGTAAGATTCAACACAGTCTGTCCTAAATCTCTTGCAAAATGAATGTGACAGGATCACACAAGTGCTCAAAAAGCACCCAAAGCAGAGCTGGCAAACACTGACTGGCTCCAGGGATGTTTTTCTTCAACTGTAAGCCAGTTGTGATGGCTGACCATAAACACTGAATTTTCTTCCACTTCTGCCCTGTAACAAGTACAATACGGCAACCCAGAATAGAATTCTGATTTTTTATTAGAGAATATATCTAAAATACATTATCCATTAAGTTATGATATGTTATGGAAGGGAAATATACTCTGTATCACAACTCCAGTTTTTACATCTTCATTTACATCTCTAAAATTCAAAAGTCACTAAGTTACATCATAATTCACATTTAAGATAACATTGCTACAAATATATAAGCGTTTTAAAAGTTTTTCTTTAATATAACATCTTGGAAGAGTGAACATTTACCTAATTTATAATCATAAAACTATGACTATTTTACCTGATTTGCTTAAATTGCCTCAGTTTGCCTCATGATATGGACTTGTAATCAATCATTCCACTTTCCTAAGTTTTAAAAATAGCATTTTAGCAAATGGGCCTGAGTACTCATTATCCTATGGGTGGGAAGGCAAGGGGCCATTTCTGCCCTTTGTATTGGACTGTTATGACTGGGAAGGTATGTCACAAGCCAATCACCAATCTGCTACACACTACCACCACTTGAGACACCTGGGTCTTGTTCTTCACATTTTATTAGTAAGCACAAGAGGTGAGAGATGGAAGGCCTACAATACCAGACACAGAGGCAGGATCTGAATCACCAAGGTAGAATTGTGCTTAGCTACAGAGAGGCGGGCCGCACTTATGTTGTTTGAACGCCCGCTCCTGGGCCATCTTATTTGAAGGATGCTTTGATCTTCCTGTTCTTCAGTGGCTGAGCAGGGCGCCAGTTGTCCACCATCAGTTCTTCAGGTTCCCCCTCTGAGTTGAAGTTCAGCTTACGGAACTGAGATATCTAAAGGCGCAATGAAGTTTTTAAATAATTAGTGTCACAATAATACATACTTAAGTGGCAGGTTTTATCTTCAGATGATGCCTCCTCAAGAGCTTGGCACTTAGTGTCACAAGCCTTTAATCCCAGCATGCAGAGGCAAGCAAGACTCTGAGCTGGAGTTCAGCCAGATCTACAGAGCTACACACACACACACACACAAAGGAAAGAAAAATCGATTTAAAAAATATAAATGCAGCCGCCTATCCATATTGGCATGAATCTGAAGTAGTTACATATTGCATGTAGAGAGCTTATGGAAGTATTCTTTCATGAAAATCTATTTATATACACTATACAAAGCCATTTGAGTCTTTTTTGTGAGCTTGCTTTTCTTGTTTTCCTGTTAAATCAAACATCACAAGTCTGTAAATCAATACCTCTGACAATGACAATTATTAAAATTTCGTTTTCTGTCTCAGAGGAGACAAAGTCCAGCAAGTGGTTGAGTATGTAAAGGGCCAGGCCTACCAGCTCCCAGCAGAGACCTTCTAGACCTTCTAGCTGGTATCTCTGCTTAGACACTGAGACTGCACTGGGATTCCAAGTCTCTGCCCCTGGGAACTGGCTGAGTTTTAGTCTCCTCTGAGTCTGTTTTTGCCTCCTGGTTTAACATAGACACAGACACACTCAAATGTGGTAAGTTCTACTTAAAACTTGCACCACAGCACTGGGTGGGGGTGGGGGGTGGGGGGTGTTTGTGTGTTCAGGGTATACATGCACACTCCTGTGTACATGAGTGTGGAAGCCAGAGCTCAACCATGAATGTTGTTGAGTAAGTTCTTTCATTGGCCTGGAGCTTGCCTGTAGGGGAGGCTGACTAGCCTTTAGGCCCCAAGGATACATCAGTCCTCATTTCTCTAACATTGGGATTACAAATTAACACCCACACACGGAGCTTTTTCGCAGGCTCTGTGGAGTTTGAACTCAGTCCTAAGGGCCCTGAGATAAGCACTCAGAGACTGACTAAGCCATCTCCTCAGTCCTGAAGCTTTCTTCTTTCCTCTTTCTTTCTTTCTTTCTTTCTTTCTTTCTTTCTTTCTTTCTTTTAAATCAAGTTGGTACAGTTAGTCCACTTATGGCCCCTTTGCATCACTCACATTTTCGAATATTGGTAAATTTAACTCATCATTTTAGAAGGCTGTGCATAGAAAAGTAAGGCATCAGAATCTAATAGATTGCTTATGTTGTTCGTCTACCAACTGTTGCCAGCTCTCATATTTTCTCATAAACCAACATCTGTTCTCCTTGGAAGCCACAATAGGTAAATCTGTAAGTCTTAATCTTTCATGGTAACTCTTTCTTTTGCTAGAGTCTAACTTAGAAATGAAGAAGGAGCACAGTGTTAGTCATAGAGGTGTGAAGATTTGCTGGGCGTCTTCGATCTTTAGAACAAGGCTTCTCTGTCACAGGGAACCAGAGGAACGCTTCCCCAGAAGTGGGTATGCCTTGGTTGTGATACTCAAATGTTTGTTTCAGCCACCGAGGTTGTAGAGCCAGGAAGCAGAGTAAAGAGAAGGGTAATCTTGGAGGAAGAACCAGAGCTGTGGCTCTGAGCTGAGACGGACAAGACCTCCAGACCCTATGGTCCAAGACATGCAAATGTGCCCTTACTACAGAATCCTGCCAAAACACCCAATTCATATTTGTAGTTTAGCACCATTTTCTATAGTAAAGGGAAAAATCATTGCCCATACTTATCTGTATTTGGCACTAGAATGTGTGCAGACAATATATATATATATATATATATCTGTCAAAGCAACTATTGATAGCAGACTTTGAAATATACCAAGTTGTTCTTAGTGGAGAAATAAGAAGAATGCTGATGTTTTGTGCCATATCTCAAGCACCACATCAACAAGAAGTGGCATTTTAATCTTTTCCCCGTGCTACTTCAGGATGCTTGCTCAACTGTTAAAACTCTCAGTTTAATTTTCAAGCCACATACCAGCCAAGCATACCATTGTGTGGCCCACTTTGATTATTCTACATGGGAGTTTCTAGTTGTATATTGATTTCCTCAAAGGACAGGTGTGAACTATCCTTAACATTAATACATTAATATTCTAAAGGAGAACACAGAAAAGAAAATATGTTCCCAACCATACCTGGTGCTGCCCAAGGAACTGGGTGGAATGCACTTCCATTTTCCTGTGCTTACAAGTTTATCAGCAAATTCCAGACAGCAAAATAAGAAAGTCTGGCAATGTGATCTCTCTTGCATATTGCATGTCTGAACTCTCAAGATTTCAAAAGTTCTCAGATTTAAATTATACAGTTACTCAAATAACTGTCACTTCAAAACTGACCACAGTTGTCCTTTATGTTACCAGGATCTGATTCTTTGTGATGCTCAAGAAATGTCTGTGTTCCACATCTGAGCATACGCTGAGGAAACCAAGGGAAAAACCCATTTGTGATTTTTGACATGGGTGCTCATGGGTGACTTGGGGCTATATTGAGCCCTTGTACATCACAAATTGCTCAGGAAATGTAAGAATATCTTGTTTAAGCCTCTGAAGCAAGTTAGGGTAGGTAATTTTGAGAGATACTTTTTCTCCAAGCCAAAACTCCTTCTTGGTCAGGATTTGGAAGTGCACCCCACATGCACAAGATTTGGCTAAGCTCTTGCATCAGTGAGCAGGAGGCTGGGAATCATCACTGATATCTATATAACCTTCAATCTGAAATCATTTTTCAAAGCCTCTATTTCCTCCTAGCTGTCAAAAAGGAATACATTAATAATCAGACATCATTCTCATGTAATCCTCACAATAACAAGCACAGATTAAACAAACTGCCTCAGAACTGCCTAGGGTGCTGGCAATGACAGAAAATCTTTATGAATGCTAAGCACTTCTGTGACATTAGCCACTGGGTGACAAGTCACAGGAGGATTATATCCCAGGACTGACTGGGAAGGACAGCTTTTCTGCTATAATGAGGGCTATCCCTAGAAAACCAACCTGCTCACTGCTGACAGTAATGGGTTCCTTAAGCACAATCCAGGTCACACATTCCAGCAGAGGCGGAGTGGTCAAAGAGCCAGGGTATGTCCAGAAGTCCAAGTTTCCAGGAAGAAGGGATCGGGGATCAAAGTTAGTGAAGGCTGAGCTCTTCCCCTGCATTGCAAATGCACAGAAGATAGTCAACACCTGATCCATTGTAGGAAGGAGGCTGTCATGCACAGGTCTACTCAGTTCTCCCTGGAAATCTTTTGTACAGAGGTTCCAGGCTTATTGACAAACAAAATAAACTAACACAAGGCACTTCACTTGGAAACAGTGAGAGCATGAAAAATTAATTATGTTTCATCTTGTCATCCAAAACATTACTTAAGTTTTCCATTGCCCTTAACTGATCATATCTGGCATTTATTTAAAGTTATATCATTACCACTAAAATGGTAAGTATAATTAGGTTGCAATGTTAGGATAAATAAAGGATCTTTGATAGTAAGGTGATAATTTTGCTTTGATATTTCACAGCTACATTAAAGCATCATGTCCATCTCTGAACATAGCACTTTCAAAGCAGTGACTGGGCGGGAATGTGAGGTTCCACACTACGGTTTAAGGTAGCTGCAAAGATGAATTGACATAATAAGAATAAATGAAGGGAACTAAGAATGATTAGCAGTTGGGAGAGGAGATAGGACCATGAGGAAGACGGATTAGGTGCAAAGGGTGTACATTTAAAAGGGTGGTCATTGTTTGAGGATGAGCTTTGTGCAGCCAGCCTGCCACAGGGATAGCCAGTCACTGCAAGTGAATGCTGTACATAAGCAGACGCCACAAAATCTCAGCACATCCATGCTGCACAGAGAAGGCTTAAGCATAGGGTAGATGAGCATCTCCATGGTGCAGGCTTGTCTACTTCATACATCGCTCAATCTCATAGATTAGCATAGAGACCACAGCATAGCAAGCCTCCCACAAGCTCTTCTGTGTGAGTCTCTGAATGGTTTGTTTCTGGCTCCTTGATGTCCTCTGGTTCTCACATATGTGTTCTTCTAATAGAAAACCATTACAACCCAAACTAGCAGAATTAGAATCCACTTGCAGAAGGAAAAATATCATTATGTATAAGCAAGTATTAGCTTTCACTGAACTGTTCATCCAAATACCAATAACATCACCAAACATCAGTAAGACTATTCATTCTCATCAAAAGACTATTTTAAAATCTAGAGTATTAGAAAGAGTTACCTTTGTTTTAATGGACTCCAGTGCATCAAGAACTTTCTGAAGACCTTTTGTAGCAGGTCCGATCTGCAGAAAAGCAGGGGTTTAAAAGACTTTATGAGTCAGTTGGCACTCACCAATTTAATTTGAGCAACGCTATCCCATAAAATTTCAGAAGAAGAGAAAGAGGAAGAGGAGAAAGAGAAGGAGGAAGAAGAGATTTCTTAAATTCCTTAGTCATGCCACACATCATCTGTGACTTGTGAAAACTTACAGCATGGCTGTTACTGAATTTTTAGCCTACTTCTGCTTCTGTAACTTGCTCCGCTGAATTACCTTGTCCGGTGTCCCCTATCACCTTCAACTGCTAAGCTGAAAGAAAGAGCTCAAGGGCTGACCTCAGTTGATGCCTTTGAAGGAGCTCATGTTCTTGCCTATCTCTCCTTATACAAATTCTCCTGTTGCTTTCCCACACCCTCTACCCTTCCTATTTCTTGACTTCTGTGTTTCCTTTCAGTCATTAGTGACCATGTCCTCAGGGCTTGAAGGCCTTGCTTTAACAGTTTCTCAGGATTGTATCCTGAGCAGTTTTATCATCTTTCTCTTTCTGCTATCTTTGGATAATCATCCCTTAAATGAGCTTCATGAGCTCCTACAGCTTCCTCCTTAGCATTCATGGGACTCTACTCATCCCAGAGTATTCTATACTCCCGTTTCCAACTTGTTAGGGGCAGCTCAATTCTAAGATCCCACAGTTCCTGAGATTTGCCAGCACTGAGTCCCTGTCCTAGAACGCCACCACCACTGCACTACAACTTGATCTCACTTTAATGTTATCTATCCTAAACTAATAGAGTAGTAACCTTAGCTGAAAGTTTTACTAAAGCAAATCACATCCTACTGGTCATTCAGTTTACCTCTGTCTTTTCTTCACATTAATATCTAACTGGTTTCTAAGTGACACACTCAAAGTGTCTCAGATATCCATATGGAAAGAATGGAGCAGTAGAGGGAGAATTGGGCCTGCATATACTTTCGTGCCAAAAGCATTTCCTCAGCATTTTAATACAATGTTTTCCTTGTTACGAATATTCTGTCTGGTCAATCATTCTTGAACACTGAAAAACAAAGAATTGGGTCATTAACTAACCTTCAAAAAAATACCCAAAACAGCCAGTCCATCTGGATGCTGCACAGCTTTCCCAAAATCACCATATTTGGTGTTCCAGTGAACCAAGTGAAGCTAAAGTCATGGGAGAAAAACCACAGTAAATAATGATTCACATGATAAAAGGCAACAGATTTTATCTCACAACTACTCTTTCCTTTAGAGCTAGGTTATTAAGGAGAAAATATGGATAATTCTATGGGGGAAAAAAAAACCTTGATTTAATCTAGTTATACTTGTTATAACAGCACATCACTTTAGGAATAACTCTAAGACAAAGATATTGAGAAAAGGTATAGATTTTATTTGTGGATTCAAGAAAATAAACTTGATCTGTTCTGACAGTCTTAACTGGATAGTAACGAAGCACCTAAGAAACCAATGTGAAGGTCCTTTTGCAAAGAGGTCATGAATTCACTTGGTAAGTATTGGGCTTATAAAACTAAGCTTTGGAAGTTAATGCAAAATAGGCTTTTCTCTGTAACAAAGAAATGATCTTACCTCTGCAGCATATTTTGTGTTGTCCACAGTGTGCTCAGAGCCATGCCCATCAGATGAGCCCCAGTGAAAATGAAACTGGACCAATCTGTAGGTGCCACTGAGGGGTCCCCCTTTCAGCACTGGAATTACAAAACATGTATGTAATGTCTCTGTAGAACCCCACCACACACACAGAGAGAGAAATTAGATCCCATCGGGTTTAGTACAGAGTACTAACCATAATTATTTCAACTGTGTTTTATTTTCCTATGTGCTAGCTGATGGATGGACACCTTGTCTATCTTTGCCGAGCTCTCAGGTCTGAACAGAGATGTGATGTACCAGGGACCCAAAGATCTGCCTTCCCATGTGAAAAAATTCAAAATATTATAAAATTTGACTGTGTTTACACTAACTGGCTTTGTCCCTAAAAATCTGTATCAAACCTCTGGGACTTCTTAATCTGTGATTTCTGTAACCAGATTATTTATTTCATTAATAATAACCTGCCCACCATCTCTTTGTGCAGTGCACAGTGCACTGCATTTCCAGAAGCTACAATTCTCACTATAGAAACTATTCCAAATTCTCTGTCCTGGAGTTAACTTTGTTTTAGTCAATAAGTCATTCTAGAGGCCTCACGCTTGGAATCCTCTATTCATAGGTATTTGACAAATGTGTCTCAAAAGAGGATTACAGTGGACGCAAACAAACTGAAACTTGTATGTATCTATGTCATTTAAACAATCTAGTTAAATGTTTTCAAAGTGACTCAGTTCCACTGTTATTTCCCTGGGTTGAAAGCATCTATTGCTTTAGGTACATTTTATTGTCCTTCGACCATATCTTATAAAATAATGAACTTAAATACACAGTGGCTTTGTAAAACACAGGGGCTAAACCTGTACAATACATTTCATTTGCTTCATTTCACTTAAATATGTTCGGCTGGTAGCAAGACCTGTTCATCTATTCAAAGAAAGGTGACATTGATGTGCAGTGTGGCCTTTCTACAGCAACTATGCAATCACTGGCTGCTCACTCTTCTGATAGGCCAAGAGAGGATAAGAGGAAAGAAAACAGAGTGAATTATGAATGGTGTCTGTTATTTTATGCATTTGGAGAAATCTGAATCCATATGTACTGTGCTAAGATCATGTCCCTTGAAGCACAAAAGCTACTATGTTTATTTATCTGATGAGACTGCAAGGAAAGGATCAAGCCCAGGCCCCTATACTAGTTTTTTTTTTCCCCACAAAGAATACCCTTTATTCGCTTTTAATTTTTCTCTCATATATTACACCCTGTTATTCTCCCCTGCTCCCAGGATCTCCTCTCTCACAGATCCACCTCCCTGACACATACCCGACTCCCACCTCCCCTCAGACAAGAGCAGGCTTCCCAGGGACATCAACCAAATCTGGTATAACAAACTACAATAAGACCAGGCATATACCACCAAACACACACACTTAACAATGAAGTCATCTTTATGAAGCAATTTAGTGCCCGGAAAAAAAATTCTGTACACCGACTCCTCAAAGCTCACAATCAATTGACCAACCATATGCAGCAAATGTTATGTAGAGTGTAGTTAGATAAGCCAAGGGGCAAATCCAATTCAATGAACCTACCATAAGTATCAGCCATCACTGATCAGCTTTCCCCAGGAGAATCAAAACAACCCTCTTATTTCAAAGGGAACGTATTTTCCCACTATTTCTTATTCCCTCCTTTTCAGACCTTGAAATTGCACCATCTTTCACTTGTTTTAGGAAATATTTTAAATAGAACTGTTTTGAGTTCATATACACTTTTACTTTAAAAGGCTTTGTGAACACTAGAAGACAGGATTAAAAGATTAAATATACCCAGTGGTAATCTTTAGCACTAAACAGCTGTTTTAGCCTACATTAAAATAAAATTTGTTGCTATGCAGATTAGAAGTCCACTATAATTAGAAAAGGTTATTAAATCTTTACAATTAAATTGCTACAAGAAGCAGCAGTTCTGTTTCAGAAATTGTTAACATGGAGTTTAGTTGATTAAATCTTTGGAAAACACTATTAGAATCTTACAATGACTTTATCTTGGATAGACACAGCATGTATTACTTCTTCTAAGAAATAAAAAACTACAACACTTTAGTTAATATAGCTCACACTATATTCTTAAATACATATATTTATTTTGACTGCTATATACTATTTTTAAAACTGTCTTGGTTCATAATAAAACCTGCTTTTCTTTTGCTAAAATATTCTTCTATGTAATAGAAATTACTAGCTATATGATTATTATCTTTAAAAATCCAAATATGGTGGGGGTATGTTCCACAGGGTCCAAGCTTTTCCTGTGTCACAGAAACTTGCTCCACCAGGCAGTAGATTAAGAAATGGGGCTTTCTATACTTGTATATTCAGGATTTTGAATTTTTAATTTAAGTTTCAACTCTTAAACCAGAACGTGTCCCAATTTTATCTTTTGCTGCTGTCATCAGTTAAACACGGCATAATTACTACAAAACACTATATAATGTGTTCTTATATACTGAATACTGAATTATTAAACTTTTTGTTGAAAATAGGAGATTCTATACTACGTAAATCAATTAGAAATCCATATAAAATAACTGAAAATTTACCATTTTTCACTGTTTTCCTCCCTAGTCACTCAATAGTGACTAATTAAGATGTAATCGGACCACAAACTAAAGACCACTGGGGTAAATAATCACCCTTAATCCCAAATAACAAGTAAACAACCCTCACTGTGTTTTTCATAAAACAACATTTAGTGATTTCCTGTTCAGTCATACAAATAAGAACTTTCCACAGATAACTTGTCAGTGTTAATACCTGAAAATTTTTCTCCAAATACTCTGAAATTTTTAAATTCATGCTTGCCATTTTTACTCCTCATTAAACTATGCATACTTTTCCATTGACAGCACCACATCATCCCAGGGCTATATTCGTACAAGCATTATCTGAGAAGGGTATTCACATTCCATTTCTTCTAAACAATGAAACATTTAGCTCTCAACTTCGTTAGAGTAGCACAGTGAAAAAAATCAAGTGTTTTAGTGTAAACTATATAGGGATTATTTAGGCTTAAACCTGACCCTTTTTAGGAGAGTTTCACTACTCACTGTGCTTAAGAAACATTGGTCAGGGTCCTAAGTATTAGAGATTCTGCTGGCATCACTAACCAAGGTCATAGAGAGACCTTCCTTGGCTGCTTATGATAGCTTGTGGAAGGTAAATTTACAGCTTCAAAATTAAGTCCCTGCAAAGTTAAACAGAACCCAGGTACAAAGCCCAATTATGTTATCCAGACAATGCTCAGCTTCAAAGGCATACAGGCTCAGCTTCCTTCTTCAACTAGCATAAACAAATAAACATTGTTTCTGTTTTTAAAAACAGAGAGCTAACTGGGATGATTATGATGTGTGAGCTGAATCAATAATTCCAACATTTCTCTCAATATTCTTCTGCAACGTTGCAGTAAAGCAGAGTTTTTTAATCTTATTAACAAGAGTTAATAAGTTAGCAATGGTTAATGCTTTGATTCCTTTTGTACCAGAAAAAGCTGGAAGGAATCCATCTCAAGCCGAGGTTATTCCTTCATAAGACTTTTTAAAAGAATTTAAAAGGATTATTAGCAAGTTTTCATTAATTTAAGATTACTGGCTTTAAAGGAATTTTGAAAACTTTAGTGTGAGCATCAGATTAAGACCTATTAATACCATGTGTTAAAAGAATTACCTCCAGGTAAATAAACACAACCTCAAACTCAGCTAGCTCAGTTTCTGACAACTGGTACTGAAGTCTGTGTGTAAGGTAACATTCAGAACATACTGCTAGGCCAAAAGTCAAGATCTAATTCTAGAAGGCCGGGATCTCAACGCAGCAGTTGGGGTGGGGGTGGGAGGTAAATGGCCACTGCATTTAAACTTAGAAAATAAGAAATTAAAAACAGCCCAACAAAGAATCCATATATATATATATGTTAAAGACCACTAGTTAATGTTACCAGGAATGTGGTGTAGGGAAGAGCAAGCCTCAGCAAATGTTTCTCTTTGACTACAGCACCACCACCCTGCTTGTTCTACTTTTGAGAATCTAAGAATCGCCAAAAAGAAAACCCAAAGAGTATGTTTTCATGTGGCGTAATACTTTTTAACTTATTCTGTAAGTGGGTTTTCCTTTTATATCAACATTTTAATACATTCTAGGTTCTTGTTTCACCAAAGTCAATGAAAGAGATAGGGACAACGGGACAATTACAAAGCAGCCTTTCATGGGTAAGGGAGAGCAATTCCCTCTTATCTGCACTGACCCTTGTTTTCCAAGACCTTTCTGCTATCTAGGGCTCAAAGACACACATCCTGTTCTCTCCTTAACCCCCTGGAGCTTCGTAATTCCTTTTGCTGGAGTCCCTTCTATCCACCCCAGGCCTTTAGTCCTCTGAATGAACCGTTTTTACTGGGGGAAACTCTTTACCGAGGTTTCATGCGGACTCCTAAGCCTCTTTGTATTCCTCTAATTCTAGGACAACATCATTTTTGCAAGTACCTAAGTGACAGCCTTCACTTTTCACAGATAGTGACAGACACCCAACTGAGGACATTGTCTGTGAATACTTAGCTAACAGATTTCCAAATGCTAGGATTTCCCACCTGGGGAGTAAGTTGAAATCAAAAGAAGTATTGGTAGCCACAAATCCTGTCCCTCCCCCACCCCCACCCCCTGCCTGCTGCCTGGGAATTCCTGAGTTTGGTTTCAGCTCTGGCTATGAAACCATCCCCCTTACCATATCCTCCAAAAGTTCTGAAACCCTGGCTTGTGCCCCCTAACACCTCATTTATCTCGTCAGACACACCCCTACCCCCCTCCCACACACACTTCCATGCTGACTGTTTCTGTGCAAGGGTCTTAAACTCTCCTCTGAGAATTCTGAAACCAGAGGATCAATTTCAATGACCCTTTGGATTCCATAACAAGAGCCCACAGTTCCTTGAACAGTTTAGTTTTGCATATATTGAGGTTACAATTAAAGCCTATTGTTTCAATATCCTTTTACTTTAGAAATCTTTAGTACACTCCGGATTCTGAGGACACAAGAAAGGAATCAGGCCTCAACTGCCCTCCTGACCCTTATCTTATGAGGCATGAACTGACGTTAGCTATGTTGACAGAAACACCCCTGGTAAGGCAGATGGAGAGGGGGCCATAGCTAAGTAATGGAGGTGGAGAATTTCCAAGATAGCCAGCTTCAGCACCCTCATGACTTTTGATAAAAGCTTAAAACAAAGGCTCGGTCTCCCACCAGCAGACCCCTGCTGCCAGACTGACTCAACAAGTTCCTAGGGCTGCTCAGGACATTCCATACAACAGCTGTGGGTCAATCAACCATCCTAGCTTTCTTCAAACTGACCAACCCAGTCCTTCAGAGGCTTTCCCTGCCCTCAAGAAGAGACTAGATTTTTTTTCTTTTTGGCATTCTGAATCTCCCCTTTTCCTCCCCCTTTTCTCTGGGCCTGCTGCCTTATGTATATTTGCTCACCCCCCAATAAACACACCTCTCTTCAATTGTTGATTCTGTGTAAAGTATTTGAGATTTCTCTGTTGCTACTGAAACATAATGGCCAACCTGATTATAATCCTTTAACTACACATCATATACATGTCAGTATTTAGTACCGGGGCATTTCTTCCAATTCTGACAGCAACAGTAGCTGTTTCCTCTGTCCTTTACCTCTAACACATCCCCTTCTCCAAACCACCATCAAAACATGATGCATGTACAGGCCCATTTCATTCAGCGACCTTCAAAGGAAAACCTTCAGGAAAATAGGACACTGGCAATTAAATCAGCCAGGGAGCAATCAAGACAGCTACTATGCATAAATGGGATCAGTCTCCTCTTTCTAAATAAAGAAAAAAAAGCCTCCTTTCAATGGTCCTATTACAAATAAATTATGGCAACTGGGTTTTTCAGTAACTGCCAAAGCATAGCCAACCAACTCTGAGAAAACTTCACTTGTGGAATAAATTTCTGAATAAGATACTGCTACTTTTATCACAGTATTCGGACGCAGACAATTTGCCAGAAACTTCAACATTTCAAATCATCAGACTCATCACTTTCTACACTGCTGACTTGAAGACACCAAAGTCATACTCACTGAAGATAGACATCATCAACTCAGGAGGACAAATGTTTTAAAAGTGTAAAAGTTAAGAGAATCTCAAAAGTTTAAAAGTGCCGTGGATTAGCGGGTTTCTGTACTGTCTAGCTTTCTGTGACTTCTCACAGACACATTGCCTGATGCCCTACATATCTCCATGTATTGAGTTATTAAACACCCCCCTCCCGATGTAATTTGCCTACATCTGGAACTTAACCTAAATAAATAAATAAAGTCAGAATAGCTTAGCTTCTAGAAACAAACTGGAGGCAGGGGCCTCCTGCAGGTAGGTGTCTCTGTAACTTTTCATTAAGACGGAAAATAACTTGGCTAAAAAAACAGTATTTCTTAAACACTGACCTGCACAATCCTGGGAGTCATCAAACTCAACGTTGAAGGAGTGGCCGTTGTTGAGAATCTTCTTAGAAGCGGCATGATCATAACATACACTCAGTGGCTGAAGGTTAGGGTCATGCTGAGCGGCCTTGGTGTCAATGTCAACCGGGGACTGGCGCTCTCCATTGGCAATGGGGAAGTCCTTATGCCAGTGCTCTGGTCCTGGAGGGGAAAAGACACTTGTGAAGTCATCAGTGTGGGAAAGGAGACACTAGCCACTAGAAGCCACAAGCAATTCTAGAGACAGTCTACTCAGTTCCAAATTTGTAGGTGATACTTAATAGCACTGTAACATTATCAAAAAAAAAAAAAAAAAAAAAACCAAAAACAAAATGTGACTCAGTCTCCTTATGTGTCACATGGGGTAATAATATTTCAAGTCTACCTAATAAAGTTCAGTGTGAAAATTAGAATCCATATACATCTACTTCTTAACAGATAACTCCCGGCAAACGTTAAAAATTTTGAGGTATTTTTGCCCAAATTCAATAACTAAAACTGGGCATAACTACAGGTAGGGATGTGAAGCGCCTGGGGATTACATCCTCTTGCGGCTGGGCTTGAGATATGTATTCTCTCTATGGCATTATAGCAGGTCCGGATGCCTCCTGGTGTTACACTAGGTGACGGTACAATGACACAGATCGAGGCTCAGGTACACAGACCTCCTTAAAAATTCTTTCTACTAAGGAGGAAGCCCACAAGTCAACCGCGAGCCAGGTGCGCCTTTCATCCCCTCAGGCATCTAGGTCTGTGACCAGGAAGACGTCCAGTCATCGCTGCCACTGAAAGTTGAGAAATAAATGGAAAACTCTTGAGCCAGAGCAATTAAATTCAAACCGGCTACAGAAGATGCCGTGACAAAATGAGCTGGGAATCTTAGTCACAGGTGTGTCAGAGACTGATACGAAAGGGGCAAGAATCCCCCCGTCTCTTTCTGTGACTTAACGACTAAAATATTCCTAACAACCTTTGTGCAACCCTGCCTGGGTTGGTATGAGGTGACCAGCTGTGGTCCCCATAGATGCTGTCCTCCGGTCTTGCATTGGGCCGCCCCTCCCGGCCCCCGAGTACGGCGGGGCTGGCTTGAGATCAGATCCTCGACAGCGCCAGGGACATCCCAGCGCGGGGACCCGGCTGAGACCCAGGCATCCCAGCTGCGCTAGGGGAGCTTGGGCGCTAGACAGGTGCCGGAGCCGAGACCGGCAGCGCGCGGCCCGGAGCGCGCGGCCTCCGCACTCACCGTTGCGCCCGCTGTATCCCCAGTGGTGGGACATGGTCGCGCCGGTGCTTGGGGCAGAGCAGCAGTTGTCGTCACTCCAGCGGTCTCACGGTACGCGTCGCGGGTCGCACGGTCCGGCTTTTATAGGCTCCCGCCAACTTGGCGTTCAGGGCGGCCCAGGGGAGGGACCGAGCGGACCTGAGCAAGGGGAGGAGACGGTGGAGGTGGCCGACCGAGGTGACAGGCGGAAGCCGGGGTAGTCGGGGGCTCCCGCCGCTTGGTCGGGGCGGGGCGCCCTCCGGCTGCTCTCCGCTCCGGCGTCCGACCCGCTCTGCGCCAGGCGCGCGCTCTCCACCCCTCCCGGGCGCCGGCGCCCCAAGGCCCCGGCCCCATTGTGTGCTCAGCCTGTGCCACCCTCCCTCTCCGCCTCCCGGGATCGCCCGACCACCCGGCCGCGGCCCGCACGCGGCTGCGGAGTTTGACCTTGGGCGGGGAGCGTCTCGGAGGCGCCCGGAGCCGGGATCCCCGAGCCGGGAGCGGGAGACCGGGGGCCCCCTGCTGCCCGGCTGCGGGAAGACCGCACGGTCTCGCCGCCAGGGCGCCCTCCTCCAGCTTCTCACTTGTCCCACAAATTAACCCAAAGCACCGAGCTCCCCAGTCTCACGTGGATTTAACCAATACTTCTCAAGAATCTCTTTTCTTTTGGAATCGGGTTGAAAAACAAGGAACTGGTGGAGGTACCCTCTGGCTTTCCAGGGACCCGGGGGCGTCCCCGGGACACATTACACATTTCTCAGTATTATGTTCAAACATTTCCCTTCACCTAACACTTCTTTTTTCCCATCCTGACTTCGAGGACGTTCTCGTAGACTTTTGAATCTATTGTGGACCCAAGGCCGCAATATTTAGAATTGAAATTGAGCTGGATACAGTTTGTGTGAGGTGGGGGGGGCGCTAGAGGTCATATTACTAATATATTAAAACCTATGCGTAAATACAAATTACCAAGTGACATTTTGAGTACTCTGGTAATCTACGTGCATTTATTTCAGCCAGTGCCACACAGAGATGCTGCGTGTATAGATCTCTTTGTTCTTACTCTAAGACTCAAAAAACTGTGTTTACCTGTATACATCAGTCTTTAACTTGATGCTAAAGGAAAAATTTGACAAAGGAGCATCAATCACAAATTTTAGATTTCTGAGACCATTACCAAGTGCAGTTCACAGAATGTCCCTTCCATCTGTGACCTTAGACCTGCATGATTTGCTGGGTGTACATGGAACAGGTACAGATTTTGATTAAGCACCTCTCAAGACTTCAGACCCCACCAACTCAGTTTTGCAGCTTCTGAGAATCTTCATCATCTCTGGTAATCCTTAGTGGGAGCTGAGCCCCTACTGCAGAATTTTCCTTGTCCACCTTTGGTCAAGAGAGTCTCGGGCATTGCATTTCTCATCGGTTTCCTTTTCAAATCACAGTGGTTGTAGCATTTTCTTCCTGCTATGTTTTCATGACGGAGATGGCTTTGCACAGTCATGTAAATCAGTCACTGTCAAGCTCTAATGTACTGAAGACTTTCCTCCCATGCTCCCATCATTCACTGTCTACCAGAGACTAACACTGAGCTTTTAAAAGTAAAAAACAATATGTGCTCATGTCCTCTTAGAGGGAAGAAATGTGTGTGTATACATATGTGTGCATATATATATATATATATATATACACATTTGTACACATATATGTATATATATGAATGATTAGGAAAACATTATATATAAAATTATTAAATCCATGCTTCAGTTATTATAATAAAGCCTTTATCATGTATCTGAACAATTTTTAAATTTTAAAACAAAGTTAGAAAGAAAGCATTTGATTAACCAGAGTTAATAGACAGTTAATATGTTACAAAGAAATATATATGATTTATGCAATAATTAATAAACGTAGGTAATCTCATAGTCATTAGTGTTAAGTTTTTATGGAGACTGAGAGCCATTCACATCTCAGGGTTTCTAGAGTTCTATGTGTAGAGGTATCTCCACTCTAGTTTCTGTGATGCAGGGGTATAATCTGAAACTACTATCTAATCACCTGTTTGTAACCCACCTCCCCAATATTGTGTGAAGTGAGAATAATCATAACCAACTAGGGTTGTTGCATGAATTCAGTTAGTAAGTACACATTAGTCACCTGCCACCTGAAGCCATCAGTAAGTTATGGTTTTAGAGTTCATCCTACCCAGGGCTATACAAAATACCATTCAGCAGATTAAAAGTAAACATCTGGGCAAAAGGGAAAGAGAGCCTCCAGTTGTCTGGATTTTCCTTCTGGGGGGAGGGGGGATGGAGAATATTTGGGACATGTACATCCTTTGTACCACACACTGAGCCATGCAAAGCAGACATACTCTGCTGGCTAGTTTTTTGTTTGTTTGTTTGTTGTTTGTTTGTTTTTTGTTTTGTTTTGTTTTTGGCAACTTGACACAGCTAGAATTATCTGGGAAGAGGGAGCCTCAATTGAGAAAATGCCTCCCTGAGATCCAGCTGTTGGGCATTTTCTTAATTAGTGAGTGATGGAGGAGGTGGAATGGTGGTCCTGATTCTGTAAGACCGCAGGCTGAGCGAACCTCGGGTCAAGCTGATAGGCAGCATCCCTCGTCCATGGCCTCCAAGTTGCTTTGGGTCATGGTGTTTCATCACAGCAATAGCAACCCTAACTAAGACATACTCTCTCTCTCTTTATATCCTAGGTACTGGAACACTTTACCTAGACTGAGCCCCAGGACACATAAGTTATTTGAAAGTGTTTTGTGTTTTCATTAATCCAGATAAAAACAGAACAGCAACTTTACTAAGGAACAAGCTATTTAAGAATGGCATTATATTAAAATTGGGGTGGTTTTGATCTGGGTTTATTTGCTAGCTATGGCCTTGATAAAATTATTTTATATATACACATAAGCACACATCCACAAGTGTATGGTTTTATTATGCAGCCTAAGGTAGCTCTGAATTAAAATTCATCATGTCATCTGTAAAATTAAGATAATAATGGTACTCATGTCATAAGATCATAATGAGAACTAAATGACATGTCATGTGTGAAAGGGTTTGACATTGTGTCAATAATCACAGCTTATTAAGTATGAGCTGTCATTCTATTATTTGTATTTTTTGAGCCCCTACTAACTGCACCGTATTTTCCATATACTTTTTGGGCTAACTAAGGTAAATACATTCAGTTATCAAGATCTCAAATGCTGCTTTGGGCTGCAGCCATGTCAACCTGATCGGAGTCTTCTTGAAGCTCATGATGAATGAATGTGGAGATAGCAAGGAACAATAAGCAAGCAAAAGAAAAGTGAATTCCAGCAGTGCCAATGATTGTGACACTCATGACACAGGAATGAGTTAGAGAGTGGCTGGGGGATGGGGAGGGGGGGGGCTCTTTGGACTAAGGGACCTGGAATCCCCGCTGGAGGGAGCCCTTGAAGAACCACTAAATAATGACCAGGAGCAGAACACTTCAAGCACAGGAAATAAGTATAAAGGTCTGGATAAAGAAGTTTCTAGAACAGAAAAGTTTGTAACCTTAGTACTGGGATCAAGAAAGAGAAGGCAAGTAGTAGTATCAGAGTCAGGCAGGACTTGCAGCTAGCAGAGCCTTGCAGACCACTATACCAAGAAGTTGTTCTGTTTACATCTACGAGGAAGCCAGGGGGCGGGTGGAAAGAGAATGGCACAAACTATAGCTAAGACGAATAAAAGCTTTGAGGTGAGGTGACATGTCCAACTCTTTATTTTACAGGCAAGGATTGGATGGAGGTCTGTGCCCCTTGCTTCCCTCGCTTTTGTATTTGCTTAAAAATTACCTTCAGAAAAAGAATACAAGTCCCTCTGGCATGGGAAGTCATCTAAGTCTAGCTCTGGCTTCCCTTTTCGCCTGTGAGTCTCCCAGCATTCTCTTTCAGGAACGAGAGCCAGTTTTGTGGTTTTGTACTGGGTCTCCGAGCCTCATCTACTGTATAAACCTGCATGATCTATTCTACTCCCTGAGCCTCTGTGTTTATATGTGGAATGTAGTAAGCATACCCAGGGCTGCTGAGGGATAAACTTCATTTATGTAGCTTAGTTGAGGCTTCCTGTGTTATTAGCGTCTAGTTTAACAACCTTGGTATTGTAGAGGAGAAGCATAGATTTGTGAAAATAGAATCAAACTTTAAATGTGAGCTGAGTCCACCATAGGCCTCCAACATAGCCCTGAGAACAAGTTAAGTAATCTCTCTCAACTTGCCCATCTCCATTTGTAAACTGATGAGAGAGAATTCTAGCCCCAGAATATCATTGCAAGACAAAGGATCTGGAAGATCTCAAAGGCCTGGCATGGTTTCATGCCTGAATTAATATTATAATGTTCATTATAATATTTTCCACTGAAAAATAATAGATTGCTTTTTCTGTGTCACTGACTTCAATGGAAAAAGAGCATTTAATTAACATATGTTTTATGCTCTTAAAATAACTTATTGAAACTATTCATTTACCAATACAGTCCTGAAAAATAACTTACTAAAAGTACTTATCTACCAATACACTTCTAAATTCTTCACATCAGTCTAAATTGCAGCCAGAGACAGTGGTTGACAGAGATAAGTTTCTTGACCCCAGTCACTCAGCTAGCAAGTATGCAATAGAGCCAGGTGTGAACTAAACTTGCAAATCCAGTTTGGAAACCTCAGTGACATGCCCTTTCACCTCCTGAGAGCCAATGCTCCAGGAGATGCTGCTCCATGGTGCTGGAATAACAATGTGTTAAGCCTGTGCCTGCTGTAAAGAAAAGTATTACCAGACTACAATCCACACCTTCAGAGAAGCTAGGAAATAAGAAGGACCCTAAGAGAGAAATGTATGCCTCTGCTCCCCCCTGCCAGAGAAGGGGAAAGGGACAAGAACTCCTGAGCAAATTGGGAGCATAGGGGGAGGGGAAAGGGAGTTAGGAGAAAGAGAAGGGGAGAAGAAGAGAGGGAAGGAGGACACTGGGAAGCAGGAAAATTGAGTCAGGGGAAGAATAGAGGAGAGCAAGAAAAGAGATACCATAATAGAGGGAGCCATTATAGGTTTAAAGAGAAATCTGGC